CGATCCGCAAAGCCAACCGTCTACTCGTCGTCACTCGCGTCGTCAAAGTGAAGCAGATGCCAACAGGAGAAGTAGTGGTAGACCAATTTCAGACTCGCGTCAAGATGATCCTCGGATATCCATGTCCCAGCAGACTACTTTCACCAACGCGCCGCCGCAGCCACTTGGTCCTTCACAAGCAGAGCGCCCTTCTTACGAACAGCCACCGCCGCGAACAAGAGCGAACACTCAAGGCTCGCTTCAACCTCGACTAGCACCACCTCAGGGACAGCCAGGTCCGAGCGGCGCACAACGGACTTCGGCTCCTCAGAACGAGCCGCAGTACGAACCTGAGACTGATTCGTCTCCGTTGATGGACGAGCGACAATACGAACAGCAGACAGCACAAGCTCAACGACCAGCGGCTACTGCAAGTCGACCGGGATTCCCTCACGCGTTTCAACGATGGGAAGACCTGTCAGCGAAGTGGGAGGGATTGACAGGCTATTGGCTGCGAAGAATTGAGCAGACTGCGGAGGAGACGCGTGATCAGCCACTCAACACGCAACTATCGCGCCAGATCACGGATCTGTCGGCTGCAGGAGGGAACCTGTTTCACGCCCTGGTCGAACTACAGCGATTGCGAGCATCGTCGGAGCGCAAGTTCCAACGCTGGTTCTTTGAGACGCGTAAGAATGAAGAACGCACCCAAGAGATCAGCGCGCAACTCGAGAGGGCTCTGGTCGCGGAGAGACAGGCGCGTGCAGATGACATCGCTTCTTGGGAAGCCAAAGTCGAACAAGCAAAGCGTACTGAGTCCAATGCATCGAAATTGCTTGGGGAGATGCGACGCGAGCTGGAAATTTCGAAGGGTGAGTCGCGTCGTGCATGGGAAGAGCTTGGACGCCGCGAAGAGGAAGAACGCGAGCGGGTTGCAGCGCTGAAGGAAGGACAGGCCATTGTAGTCGGAGGCTACACTGTGCATCCAAAGCAGTTCCAGCAAGAGAGCTCTGTGGGAGGAAGTATGTCGCAGTCGCAATCGCAGCGACCAACCACATCATACGGACAGAGCCAAGCAGCTGCGGAGAGGGAGTACCAACAGGGACCTACCTCACCAACGGATACTGATCCCTTCACTGAAATGAGACCCCAACAGTCTGCAGCGGCTCCAAGCACGCTCGCCTGGCAGTCCGAAGCCGCAGCAGTCGGCGCCGCTGCCGCTCTGGCTGCCAACCAAGCTCACCAACAGCAGCAATCAGGACGCACTTCAGCCTCAAGCTCTGCCATAACTCCAACCACATACGTGCCAGCCGGAGTTCCGCAGTCACGAACAACCGGCTACCAGAATGACCAGCCCAGCTATGAATCTCGTGGATCACTCTACAGTCAGCAAAATACGAATCTACATCCCAATGCGACCGCTGTATTGGGTTCTCCAACTGCCACGTATGCGACGCATACTACCACGGACGAGTACGGTTCCGAGCTTGAGGAAGGATATGAGATGGATGAACACGGCAACGTTGTCCGTGACGCTTCAGGTAGGCCAATCCCATATCGCCGCGGTCTTCATCGACTCGCCAGCCAAAGCGGAGAGTCGGAAGATTCTGACAACGATCGCGAAGCAACGCACTCAGCAGCTGTCGAAGAGTATGAACGGCAAGAAGCAGAAATGCAGGCAGCTCCACGTCAACGCGAACAAGATGCCCGTCAAGCGCTTGCTCGTGAACAGCAAGCCTGGGAGAGGGAGCAGGAAAGGCACCAGCAGCGAATGACAGAATTGCAGCTGCAAGCTGCACAGACAGGTAGCAGTACTACTGTTTCCTATCCGCCAGTTCCTGCTTCGTCCTCGGCGCCGAGCACGGTGATACCGTACTATGGTTCTCGGACTCCCTCGCCGCCGCAGTCGCAAACAACGTCGATGCGCATGCCCAGTACAGAAGCCACAGCCGGAGGAATCCCACCACGATCTTTCTTCGGGACACCGTCACCACCACCAGAGATGCGTACATCGGCTGATAGCACCGGCGCTTTTACACAATCTGCACTGCCCGTGCCTGCACCACCAGCGGACTATACTGGAGCAGGCTACGGAGCTCGATGGGATCCTGTTCATCATCAGCCAACCAGGTTGAGTGATGTCATGGAGGAAGAGGACGAGGCCAGAAGTAGAATTTCTTCTAGAAGTCTAGGTCTGGGAAGGAGCAGCGGTGCGCCTTTTTGAAGAGTGTCCGATCGAGGTATGTTCCGCAATTGAGTCTTGAAGGTTTCCGATTCAGGCTGCCAGGCCATTCGGAATGAGAGAGAGCTTGTTGAGCACCAACATGGGTTGATTGAGCAGATCTATAGCTCTTGTGGATATCACAGCTGCGAATGGCTTCCTGGAAACGGTCTGAAAATTTGTCACATCACAGGGTGTTGGATCAAACGCAACGATGCGATGGCTTGTTGGTCAGACAAAGCATCGCAGGTATATCCCGTCGTCATCCTCCACGACACGCGAGACGATGGTTTTTTCATTTGTCCTTTTTCTTCTTCTTCTTTTTGTTCTTTGACTATCCGCGCGTTTCTTTGTCGGGATTGTGCCGAAGAGCTAGCTATATACCACATGGTCTCCTTTTTTGAGAAAGACCTGTCGTTCGTCATTTTGTTTTGTGCATCTCTGTACCTGTAGCACCACTATACATGTTATGTTTGAGCAAGGAGTAAAAGCTGGGTTCTAGCATTGCGCATTTGCATAGCGTGGAATGGTCTTGGTGTTGGTTGGTTGGTTGATTGGTTGGTCATGGGGGATATGGATGCAGGTGGAATTGGGTTGGGCGAGAATGGGTACGATGGCATGGGGAGTGGAACAATAGAGTAAATTTGTAGTGTAATTGAGATTTATTGGTGTAATTGGTAATTTCTTGCTATGTTTGTCTGTTTTGTGTTTGACTTTGTGATTTGTCGAGTGTTGTCCCTCACTTTCTCCGCTCAACTCCAAGATCCAAGTAAGGCTGATGTCGTAACGACCAGGCCGAAACCTTGGACACGGATTGAAACCCGATTGATTCCCCTCTCTCGCGCCAGACTACCTGATCCATAAACGCCAGACTACCTCTTTTTTGGAACGCCAGGCCCCAAACCCCATGCCCCCGCGCTCACATCCAGGCCTTTGAACACCAATGCAAGAAGGAAAAAGTGACACACGAACTCCAACCCCGCATTCTAGTCCCCCCTTACCCCAGACGCGCGGGGATCGATCGCGATGCGAAGATCCATGGAGCGCGTCGATGGCTCCGGGCGTTCATTGATTGGTCTTCCGCTTTCTGGGGGACCCGGCAAGTTCGTACTATGTGGAGAGGACGAACGTGCTCAGTGCTCAGTGCATGGATGAACGAACGAGCGAGCGAGTTGCACGGGGTGTGATCGCGTCCACTTGCACACATGTTGATGTGTCGATGTCAACGATTTTTCATGTTGCTGCGAGGGTTGAAGGGCTGACGCCGAACATGGTTGCGACGTGGGTTGCGTAGCGGAGACGGTTGGCTGATGCTATGTCTTTTGTGTCTAGCTTTGATGTGGTCGTTGGTGATGCTGAGGAGTTGGATGTCATTGAGACGTTGCGGTTTGTGGAGGTTCCTTCGTGCATGTTGTCGAAGGAGACGATGGACTTTTGGTGGTCAGACTTTGTTGTGGTTCATTGAGGGACTGGTGTTTTGGGTTGAGAGTCGAAGGTATGGTGGTATCTGGAAAATGACAGAGTACTTACACTTGAGCGGCTGTATGTGAAAGGGGCTGCTGTTGGTTGAGAAGGCATGGTGGCGGTGAAGGATAACGATTTCGATCCAGGTAGAACCGATTGAGAAGTAAGGTGAGGTTTATGCTTGTTTGTTTGATCGTACGGTGAAGAGATTGATGTCGAGGTCGAATTGAGCTTTGCGTACAGCGATATAATACGATTGGATGGACCTTAGACGAAATATGTGAAGCAGTGGAGTATGCAGATGTTGAAGCAGATCGATCGCGTGCTCAGTACAAGAAATGAAACCGCTCAATGGAGGAGAAGAATTTGAGGAAGTGGTCCAAAATGAATAGTGAAGACTGATCAGGAGAGAGGATTCATATAGCAACTGTGATAGACAGGGCATCAAAATATGGCCCAGCAGTCACACCAGAGTACAAAGCTATACGTGCGATTACGCCATACACCGAACCCTCGGTCCCATGGTCCTGCACCTAAAATAATGCCTAAGAATCACGATGGACAGCTGAACCCTCATAAAGAACAATGGGAGCTCGTGGAAATGAGGACAAGGGAGGCTGGAACCTGCGCGAGACGACCATGCTGGTAGAGGACTGACCTTAATGGCTCAATCTGGTTCCGTGCACGAGTCATTGCATGCCATCAGGGCTTTGTGAGAGAGTATCCCCAGGATGGCAAATTTATCGCGCAAGCGATCGCAAGCGTTGCGCGATTTGCTGTCATGTCCGCCGTCGAGGCTGTGACGGTGCGGTCAACTGCCCTGCTGACAGGTTTTGGTGCTACGTGTGAGCTTGTTATGAGCTTGCTATGTTCGAGATCTGCGCGAGGCGTTTTCTTGCAGGGCAAAAGCGGTTCTGTGGTGTTTTGATGGACCGAGGAGTGGTTGTTGATGGTTCACGGTTGAGGGAGTGTCTCGCGGTGTGAGAAATAGAAACTAGGTTCCAACAAAGTTCCTTGCCCGCATGGCGACTTCCCAGCAGCCGACCTTGTTTGAGGTAAGAGCGGATTGGTCTCTCAGGGGTCACTTCCATGATTATTCCGGGTTCGTTGTGCAGCGACATTATTCCGGTGTATGAGATGGTAACATCCACCAAGCAAATAAACATCAATCTTTTGTGTAATGAATCGGGATCGAAAGATTGTGCCAACACTGAAAGAGATTCAAGGTTTTGGTCTCTGAGCGACCACAGAAGCAAATGTGATTGGATAGTATCACGATGATCAATCAGAATTACTACAATACGAGGGCCGGATCTCGCAAAAAGAATATAGCACGTGAGAGGAGAGGGGTTCGAACCTAACACCATTAGTATCAGGCTTCGATGACTATTCATTTCTCATAAATACCCTCGCCCTTTCGGACTGCGGATCTGCTTGGAAGCCTAAACACAGCGCCTTAACCACTCGGCCATCCTCCCTGAGGTACTCAGCAAGGGTGTTGGTTAAGAATTACATGTCCCCTCTGCTCAGGTATGTACAGGGTGATGGCGAAGTTACGGCACAGATCCGCGGTCGAGGGAGCCCAGACTAGTATACTGTACGGTACCACAGTAGTCTACTGTGGGGTTACAGACAATGAAGGTTGACCTGGACCCTGTCGTAGCTAATGCGCCTTCAGTAGAGCTGCGCTATAAGGCACGCCTATCTGAGAGTATGTTGCAGGGGAACTGACTAGAGAGTCTCTGCTCAGTAGAAAGGATGTATGATGGGATGTCCTCCAACGTGCTCAGAAACGCGTGATAAGTTCGGTAGACTTGGATCTGCAACAGGGGGCTGGTTGTGGACTAGAAAACCTCCCTTAGTTGCCACACGGCCTCTAGAACCCCTTATCCCCTATTCCATTTCCAAAGACGAACCACATCTCGCCATGCTCGGGTAATGGCTTCTGCCTGCATCAACTTGCGAGTCAGCATACGACAAGCTTGACGCTTGCTCAGGCGGACATTGCTTGTCCCTTCCACGTTGCCCACTTTTCTGTCTCACGAACACAATTTGATCCTAGGGAGACTCGTGGTAGCAAAACCCAGTATCACCACAAGTCAGAACTTACGCTGGATCAACGCCTCTGAAACAGAATGCACTGCACTCCTGTTAAGACCAAAGACCAATAGGAACTAGAATGGACGTTTTCAAGAAAGCGTTCTGAAATTAAATCGAACCAAGAAAAAAGGATGGAAAGAGCATTGCCTCTGCACTCTATGAGAAAAATGGATGAGCTTTCAGCAGCTTTGTGGATGTGTTGAGATGTAGCGACTCGAGCAGTATGGGAAGCGAGTTGTCATCTAACAAATTTGGACAATGGCTGGTGGATAGGAGCTTGGAATTCCTTGCGAAAAGAGGTTGGGCCGAGAAGCAGATTCTGAATTGATTGGTAATGGGTTGGAACACAACTTGCGTTTAGCAAGATCCGAGCGTGGCCATGTCTGGGCCAGGACTCGTGATCTCTCGTAGTTGTGGTGGTGGTGGTGGAAGTGACTCAAACAGGAGAAGCGGACAAAGAGCTTGGAAGCATTCTTATGGGCGACGGGTATTGATACTCCAGCTTGAAAAGTGTGCGTCGCTCTCTTCTCATTGCTTGCCGATGAACTCACGAGCGGTCGGCCAATTCCAATACAGTTCTGAAAAACGAGTGAGCATGAACCTGTTTTCTTACTATAGCCTTGCTTTCGCACCCATCTATCGACTTCCATTCTTGCGAAACGATAGGGACCATACAGAACGCTCATTGTGTTGTCCCTTGCCGTTGAATTCTGGCACTTCAGATCCCGAAGATATCTTGATACGGGAGAAGTGAGGCCAACCATAACACATACTTCAATTCCAAAATTGCAGTTCCGACCCTACGTCGTCCTCCGCCCAGCCCACCACATGTTCATCCAGGTAGTGAATTCCGAGCGGTCGACCTGATAAGCTTACACGGGAACCATTGCCAGAAAATGGCTTGATTCCAAAGCATTCAAGACTAGAGGGGACATGCGAGACGAACTGCTGTTGACGACCAAGGGGACTCGGTCGTGGTTCAACTAATAAGTCCGAAGGTCGTTACCCTATGATGGAAAGGCAGTGCGACTGTCTATTTGGTGTGTTCATTTGATGAGGACGGATCGGACATGATCTCTTAAGATTCTGGCCAGATCAAAGTCGAGGATCCCTTCAAATCATAACATTGATGTCCTTGAAAGCACCTTCCTACATTTCCTGTCAGCGGAACAGTCGGCGGCACTAGATCCCTATCTCGATTGAGTCTGTATTGTGGTGCACTGGCAGCTGCTTGTTTACGCAACAAGGCTCCTGCCTTGCCTTGTCACACGGATCAGATTCGACCTCTTCGGTTCAACTTAAGTATTCACCCCTTTCACTTTTCACCACCAACAACATACTCACCGGGATAGCCAGAGCACGATTACAGAGTCTTTTACCATGCATTTCCTCATAGCATTTGTCCTTCTCATTGCTCGCACTATCTTGGCCAGCATTCCCACCGCCCCTGGAGCCTTCTCCCCTTCTGTCTACACTGGCGTACCGGCGATGCACGCCTTTTGCCTGCCAAACCACAAATGTGTCTTCGTTGACAAGGTTGAAAACTTCACATTTGCTCATCTGTCGAACGGCCAATACGCATACTCGGTTGAATACGATCCCACCACTGGTACTCAAGTCCCACTCACCCTCAAATCCAACGCTTTCTGCGCTGCTGGCGTCCTGTTGGCCAACGGACAGTATCTCCTCGTCGGTGGCAATGCTCCATTGCCAGACGTCGACCCTACTGTAGGTGACGGCTTCCGTAGTATCCGCTATCTCAATCACCCGTCCGATGGCAGCCGCGACGGCGCTGGCTGGGACGAGTACAAATGGCAGCTCGACTCACCAAGATGGTACCCAACGACAATCCTACTGAACAACTCAATGGTCTTCGTCGTCTCCGGCAGCCGCAATGGCCTCGATCCACGCAACTCGACAAACAATAACCCTACATATGAGATCTTGAATGAGAATGGCTTTCCCATGGGCACTAGTTATCCTTGCAAGCTTCTCATCGACAATCAGCCAACATTCATGTACCCGATCGTTTTCCTATTATCAGACGGGACCGTCCTCATCTGCGTTGCCCGAACCTGCGAGATTCACGATCCTATTGCCAATACCACATTACGTACTCTTCCTACGATCCCAGGTGCTGTCAGGACATACCCGAATGCAGGTGGCTCGGCACTGCTGCCTCTCACGAGCTTCAACAACTGGAAGTCCGACATCCTCATCTGTGGAGGCGGCACTAGCCAGGACCTCACGTCACCTAGCGACCCTACATGTGTACGCATCAACCCATACGATCCAGCGGCGCAATGGCAAGTAGATAATATGGGACAAGGTCGTGTTATGGGCAATCTTGTGCTTCATCCCAATGGAAACATCACGATCGTGAACGGCGCGAATCAAGGCTCTGAAGGATACAACCTTGCCAGAAATCCTGTCCAGGATGCGCTAGCCTACAATCATCAACAGCCCATCGGACAACGCATTGTCAAGACTGCTCGCAGTCCGATTCCGCGCCTGTATCACTCAGTAACGTTCATAGATGACCAAGGCCTTACACACATCGCCGGAAGCAACCCAAATGAGCAACCTGTACTTGTGCCAAACGATGAGAATCCCTACCCGACTGAATTCCGCAGCGAAATATATCGTACCGACTGTCAGCTCGACTCATCTGCCTGGAGCAAACGTCCCCAGAACGTCACCTTAACGAACAACGTTTGGCCTACACTTGCTTCACCTGGAGGAATCAGTCAGAAGGTATCATTCTGGGCTCCATCTCGCGGTTCGAATCTCATGGTCTCGCTTGAGTATGGCGGTTTCAGTACACATGGCCTTACAATGGCCAATCGTTTGATTCACCTCGACCATACTGGTTTCATTCCGAACTCGAAGTGGGGAGTGCAGAACATATCCGTTACACCACCACCAAACCACAATGTCACTCCTCGAGGTTGGTATCGTCTTTGGATTGTTGTGGATTGCGTCAATTCCGATGCTACTTGGATCCAGGTTCTTTGAAAGATGGGAACAGCGGTGGACAATTTCGTGAAGGAAAGATAATGGATGCTTTGGGATTTTGCGAAGTCCTGGCTCTGAATTTCTTCGTTGTATAATAGCGCGTATATATTGGCAGTAATGAATATGATGAACCAGACACAGCTTTGCTTCCTACTGCCTATGGCAGATCCATCGAATGGCTGCCAGGAGCTTAACGACACGGTTACGAGCTGGAAGATCTCTGGTTCTGAATTGTAGGTCAACCGAGGCTGTAAGCGTGAAAAGTCTAAGTAGAGCATCAAGTGACTACGATGTAATGCTTTCAGTCATTGGAGAGAAGGTCAACCTTAACCTGTATGTTGAGACTCCGTTCTGTGGCTGCCACGAAGCCCGTTTAGAACGGGAGTACAACAGGTACCTTCATTGCGTAAAGCTGTAGGATGGCCATTCATTGTCATAACAGCGGCACCCTGTTCCGCAGAGTCCAGTATCCGAGTATCAGAGTCTCTGGTATTTTTTCAACGACTTGAATTGTCTCAATAGTCGTTATCAGAGGCTCAGATTCGATTGAGGCAGCCACGCAGTGTGCTCGTGCTAGAAAGAATGGGATATCGCAAAAGGGCACGGCCAGATCGATTATAATGTTTGTATGATGATATCCTGCCCTGAACTCAACTCTGCGGGCTGATCTCGTGGTCTTGCAGCGGGTGTTTGGATGTATATGCCATTCGGTATGGCGTAAAGAATTTGCTTGCTTCCATGGGTATCACACATATACGCCAGAATAGCATCAACCTCTCTCCAGTATCGACAAGACCCAACTCTCCACGATCAAATCTCCTACTTCTTCTCATCGCCACCATCCTCCTCGGATTTCTTCACCTGCTCAGCCCGCACCATTTCAGATACTCTTTGCATTGACGTCTTCTCCTCCTTCGAGGAGATGGAGAGTACGGCTGGTGAGTACAGATTGTAGGTACGTTCTGGTATCTGTGCTAAGGCGTGGAAGGACTGCTGGGTATTAGCGGGATAGAAAACACGTCCGCTGTGCTCTTGTGGAAAGCTGGAGATGGTGGCGTACTGGTCTGGTCTCTATGTTTGCTTTGGAGCCTGGGAAGCTTTGATACCACTTCATCTCTGCTGGAGGCAGGGTGGATTTTGCGGAGAAATGGGGCTTGTTTGCGGGTCTGACGAGAGGGTTTGGGATAACTGTTTGTGCGTATTGTAGAGAGTTTGATTTCCTCGCTGTGATCAATGCTTGAACCTTTCGAGACTGCTCTCCAGGCTGCTGTGACTCTGACGATCCCAAGAGCTCAAAGAGACGGCTAAAGCACTCTACTCCTACCCCTCCCTCAGCACTCCAGGCAGACCTAGCCCCCAGAAG